ATGCATGTTGCGGCGTGCAGCCTGATCCCATCATGAATTAATAAACTCGTTGCAGCGTGAAACCCGATTCCATTAATATCATTCACAATCGGGGCCTTGGCTTCATTCAGTTATCAATATCTCTAGTCTCTCGGCTCTAAACACTCATGTCAATCAGCACAAAACAATGATACATGATGTAACAATAAATGGTAACTCAGACTGAGCTATGATATGCAAATGATGAGTGTGATTGAGAACATAACTGAACAGCAAAGAACGACTTATGTGGGTCCCAACAATACCAGCATATAGACTAGACATGATTTCAAACATAAATCACAATTCAAATTATCTAACACATGAATAATATCAAGATTAGATACTCCACAATTCCACGGAATCAACTGAGTCACAATTATTACTGTGCACGCCCATACGCCCGCCATCTAGCATGTGCGTCACCTCAACACCAATCACATAACACATAGTTCGGAGATTTATACCCTCAGTATAAAGTTTAGAAGTGTTACTTACCTCAACCCGCGTAAATCCCTACTCCAATAATCCCTTGCCTCGCGAATCGTCCTCCGAGCGACTTGAATCTAGGCACAAACAACTTAATACAATCAACGCAAGCTATATGAATCAATTCCATATGATAAAGCTAGGTTCTTTAACAAAAGTAATTAAAAAAAAATGTCAACCCCGGGCCCACGTCTCATAATCCGATAAAATTAAAAAAAAATCCGAAAATTCATTCAACAACGACTCCACCCATACCAAAATTACTCAATTTTGATCTTAACTCGACCTCCAAATCCTCAAATTAAAGTCTATGAAGTTTCTATAGTTTTTTCTATTTTTTAACCCAAAACACTAATTAAATAGTAAAAATAGTGATAGATTCATGTATATTAACCAAATCCGAGTTAAAATCACTTACTCCAATTAATTCCTTGAAAATCCATCCAAGAATCACCCAAATCCGAGGTCTCTAGCTCAAAATATGAGAAATGATTTCAAATGCTCGATTTTGATTTTTTAATAGTCTGCATAATGGTCACACATCGCGATCACAAAACTCCCTTCGCGATCGCGAAGAACAAAATCTTCAGTAGCCTAAAAACCTTCTATGCGAACGTACACTCTAGGTCGCGAACGGGTTGACTGATCTCCTTGACTTACGTGGTCGCGTACATTCTCACGCGATCGCGATGAACAACGCGTGGAACTCCGAGGCCTCCTCTTCCTTCTCCGCGAACGCGACTTCTCCCACACGATCGTGTAACACAACTCCCTCAAGGCGCCGCGATCGCACCCCTATCTACGCGACCACATAGAATAAATTCCCACATGCCGGACCTTACCCTCCGTGATTCCGTCTCTCTCCTAGCGATCGCGTAAGAGGAAACAAGAAGCACATGAATGAGCAACTTCACCAACTCTTCTAAGTCCAATTTCAGTCCCTTAACTATCTGAAATCCACGCGAGGCTCCGGGGACCTCAACCAAACATACCAACAAGTCCTAAAATACGATACGAACTTAGTCGAGGCCTCAAATCACATCAAACAATATCAAAAATACTAATCGCACCCCAATTCAAGCATAATGAAACTAATGAATTTTCAACTTCCCCAATTCAGCCTCTCTACTCCCTCGGGGTAGGGGTAAGGTCTACGTACACACTACCCTCCCTAGACCCCACTAGTGGGGTTTTACTAGGTCGTTGTTGTTGTTGTTGTTATTATTGTTGTTGTTGTTGTTGTATAATCGATGCCGAAACCTATCAAACCAACAACGATTGACCCCAAATTTTGCACACAAGTCATAAATGACACAACGTACCTATTCCAACTTCCAGAACCAAAATCCGAAACCGATAACCACAAAGTCAACTCTCTGTCAAACCTCTCAACTCTTTAAACTTCTTTTTTTTTTTCCAACTTTCATCAATTCAAGCTAAAAATATCTACGGACCTCCAAATCAATATCGGACACACTCCTAAGTCTAAAATCGCCATACTGAGCTATCAGAATTATCAAAATTATATTCCAGAGTCATTTATACATAAGTCAACATTCGGTCAACTCTTTCAACTTAGGTTTCCAACCTTGGAAGTAAGGGTCTCAATTCATTCTAAAATATCCTGTAACCAAACCAACTACCCCGTCAAATTACTTAACAACAGACAAACACATAATATGCAATAAATAGGAGAACGAGACTATAATACTCAAAACAGATGGCCGGATCGTTACACTAAGGCTAAGCCGAGATTTGTGGGATAAAGCTTCCCATTGTGAGGGCAATTTATTATTACTTAAGGTAATGAGGTTAAGTCTACTTACACGACACTACGGGAAGTCATCCAGACAACTAGGGTCAAACTTGTTGCTAGGTTTGATCACATGGTGGTTGTTTGTTATGTCAGTGTCAGTATAGTACATTTTGTGAAAGATAAAGAATGATTTTCTTATGTTTAGACCTAAGGAGTAAGGATCGAAAGTGATTTTAATTACTTAATAAAATTGAAATGGTTTGTATGATTATTATTACAGTCATAAATAGATATAAATATTTTAAAAGTTTATATAATTATTTACATCTTACTTATCTTTTCATTTAAAATATTAAAGAACATGATTATTTACCGCTTTATATCAAATATTGAAGAGAAATTTTCGTAAACCACTATTGTTTAGAGCCACTAACTCCATAGTTTGCATAATTATAATTTGTAGCTACTATTTAATTGCAGCTAACTTGTGTCACTTGTATTCAAGCGCGCACAAATACAACTTGTCTCAACTGTATTCGTTCGTGCAATAAATACAATATGTATTAACTGTCCAAGGCGAAATACAAGGGTGTATACAAATGATACGACTTGTATCGACTGTATATATGGGTGTATACAAAGAATACAACATGTATCGACTGTATTTGTTCGCGCAATGAATAGAACTAAGGCAAAATACAGAAATACAGAAAAATAAAATATTCTTGTTGAGAGTCGAACTCAAGACCCCCGCTAAATAAGTTGGCGCTCTAACCAACTGAGCTACGAGAGGTTGTTGCTCTCTTGTTTCAGTTCAAAATAATTATTCTCTTATTTCGTGGATTTGCTATAAAATTCAAATATAGCTACGAATGATAAATTTGCTGAAAGTATAGCTATGAATGATAAATACAGTACAAATTTTTGAAGTGCCGCGTAATTTTTCCAATATTGAATGGATTATTTTTTTCATTAAGTCTTATCCCATGACCTTAAGTTAGAAAGAGTTTATGATAATTATTGAGTATGTGACGGTGTACTTATCCTTCATATGCCTCCCTTCTATAGGCCTAGTTTACTTTACATATCTTAGGATGAAGTGTGCTATGTCATGAGCGAACATATGGCTAGGATGACTCTCTTCCCGAGATATATGGCGAGACACTATTTCTATTCCATGGTAGCTGTCATGTTATTCTTATTTTATTTAGTTGGGAATTTCCTAAGTGCTTATTTTTATTTTTTGGTATAGAGACTCCATAAATAGTTGTTTTGAGTTGTACTAATGAGATTGTATATGAGATATATGAAAATAGATATTTATTTTATTTGATTTTATTATTATTATGAAAGACGTCATATATGGTTTTGAAGTGAAAAATATTCAATGAATTAATTTGAATATATATATGATTTTTAAAAAGCTTCCGCAATTAGATTGATTTTCATACATATGGTTCGGGTGCATATACAGTTTGAATTACTCAGGTCTGGTAGTGTGCCGAGTGTTAGTCACGTAAATTTGGATCGTGACACTTAGTCAAAGGTTAAAATTTTAAAAAAAAAATTTATGCAACTTTATATATTATGAAACGAAACACATATTACATGGAGTATTATATATGCCACTTTTTATTAATTGAACAAACCAAATATTTATCAAACAACGTAAATTCACTAAATATTAAATTCTTTATCATTTAATCTCGTATTATAATCACGATATAACTTTTATTACAAAGTAAACGACTCCTAAAGGGAGTCATGAAGCTCCAAGTGTTAGGGCCTAATATCTCTATTGATTGACGCAAAGTTCCCTCGTCTGCAGTTTACATGTTTTCTTTTATTTGAGAATTTATTTCATTTATGTTCGTCCTACATGCCTTATACACTTTACTTTTAAGTATTTAAGCATAACCTGTATAACGTATTGTCCTATAATTAATAGTTTGGTGAGTTACAATTTCACAATGTAATTATATGACCGTCCTTAGATAGTTAAATTAATGTTATAATTCTTTCTTGAATGTTAATCATTTTATATATAATCTAATCTATTTTAAATGATATTTAGATTACTAAAATATTAAAATAAAAACTTACTATGGAGTTTATGTCATGTAGCTTGTGAGTTACACGTGCCACCACAAGTAAAACACTTTGTCAATGCCTCCTTTTAATACGCTATACTTTTAGTGCGTCAAATAAGTAGATTAGGCTAAATTTGGTTGGATAAAAACTGGTGGAGAATATATAGTAATGACCCAATCCTTCGGTGATACAATTTTTTAAAATTTTGGAAGAACACCCTGGCTAACTATTATATTGAACTTGAGTAACTACTTATGGTAATTCTTTATCCTTGTATCTTTTATGACTATGATTGAAGTTGAGTAGTTTGTCCAAACTTTGGAATAACAGCACTTTTAAAGATTATTAAACCTATAGTATAAACCTCAAACAAGCCAATGCTGCTGAGGCCCGAGTGGCTACGTGTCTAATGTTAACCATTAACCATCAAGGGAATTTTAGAAAAATATCTTCCTTTCCATTTACAAATTATACGGAGCATTTCGTCCAATTTTGTAAAAAAAAACAGAAGGTTTCAAGATTACTACTAGTACATATATTTTATCCTATTTTCCTCAAAATGCCTGCATATTCAGATGGACAATACTTTGCAATCATCTTCAATCAAAAGAAGTACTAGAAATTAAACAAGAGGCAGAGAGGGACATTTTTGTAGGTGATATTGTCTAACAAACAAAGTACAACAACCATTTCAAAAGGCTTTCTGACTCAAATTACAACTGATGATGGAGAAACTGCAGTCCCGAATTCTAAGACAACACTCCAAATGCCAAGAAGCTGGCGCAAATGAAAACCAAAAATATACAGAGTTTTGATTTTTCTGGGATTTCGCATTTTCTACTTTGATATAGCTAGCTAACTAGATTATAAACTCTAAAAACATGGGTATACTACCCTAAAGTTTAACAAAATCCAATTCGTAATTTCCTTAAACAATCATTTCATACCATTTCCATGCGTTGAAATAGCAAGATCTGGGAAATTAAAACAATCTCCTCCAGCTCCAACAAATCCACCTTCTCCACTAGCAAGCTGCCACGTGTTGCCCAACATACTAGCTCCAGCACCATTACTGTTATTATGATCAACACTGGTATGCGAGACTACACCAGGAAATGGCCAAATGGGCCTTCCAAGGCCAAAGCCCATATCTTCAATTGCAGGCCCAACTCCAAGCCCAAACCCACTGAGTGCTAAAAGACCATGAGGCCCTTGAGTATTGCTCAACAACGAAGTAAAACTCCCGCACATGTTCACATTCGGCTTCACGTCAAAGGGTAGTGGCCCGCCGTGATGATCGGCAGTTAGAGGAACCAAAAATGGAGAAACGGGTGATGGGATAGGCGCGTGATGGTAGTCGCGAGGAGAGAGCGTGGAGGACAAGCAGCTGCTAGTGCTGTTACTGGTGTTGTTAGTAGTGATTGTACGGGAGCGTTTGGCATTTTTGCGACTACCCCCACCAACGGGGATATCTCGAAGTGTGCCGCCGTGTGTCCAATAACGGCGGCACGACTTGCAGAAATGACGTGGTTGAGAGAAGTTGTAGTTGTTGTAGTAGCAGAATTTTGTGTTGGTTGAATCACAGCGTGGACAAGGAAGATGCTCCGGCTCCGGTGCCGGTGCACCTCCTTGCTGTTGTTTGGTAGCTTTTCGTTCACATACGTCTGAAGGCATTTTCTTTCTCGCTTGTTTGGCTGTTGAACTAAGAAGAAGGACAGAGACTTCCTATATGTTTAATGAAGTGAAAGAAAGATGTGGGGTTTATGGAAGCATGTGGTGGGGTTTTTATGGGGGAGATAGAGAGAGAGAATCTGCGTAGTGCTCAGTGAAACAGGAGGCCTGAGGAATTCTGAGGGTTATGTGCTAAAGAACAGAGAGCAGCTTTAGCAGGGTTTTTTATTTTGCTAGCTATGTATATATTCAGACGGCTCGAAAACGGCTTTTTGTTTTGGGGTTGGCTCCTAAATGGAGGCTTTTGCTAACCTATTCCCATACACATTATCCCACATGTACAACACCAATTATCTGATTATTTCTTTCTTAGTGGACGCTATACTACTCGTTAATTAATTAAGCACGATTTAAATCCACGAAAATTAATTAGTGGGATTTAGCATCATTGGTCCGATCATGGCCTTGTGCCTATACAGGTGTGCAGTTCTGCATTTACTTTGTTCTTTAATTATAATTTGGTTGCCGTTACAACTCACGAGGTAATAGATACGGCTATGACATTATAATACTAGTTTTTACCTATTTGCTACTCCATTATGTGTAATCTTCCTAGAAGTACTATACGAGCGCGGAGGCTCCTTGTAAGTTGTATTTATTATTATGCTTCAACCTGCGCTATATTTTGATTATAGTATATGATAAAATAAACGTGTCTCATTCACTCAGTATATTGTTCACTCAGTGTGTTAGACAATTAATATTGCAGAATAATCTATAATGGAGAGGATCGGCGCAGACAATAATTAAATATATTCCTCACTCAATTTAATTGGAGATACCACTTACAACCTTATTTATATATTTATTTGTTTGTTTTGGGCTTCTGTTATTATTATGTAGTTTAAACCATTAATTAGTGATATAAGTGACCTCCACATAGTCGACAAATAATACATACTCCATCCGTTTCAATTTAGATAATGTTGTTTGACTCGGCATGAAATTTAAGGAAAAAAAACTTTTGAAATTTATGGTCTTAAAAACTTAAGGGTTAAAAGTTTTGTGGGGCCATGACATTTGTGTGGTTATAAAAGCTTCTCATTAAGGATAAAATGGATAAAATAAAGAGTTTAAAGTTGAATTATTTCCAAATTTAGAAATGTGTCATTTATTTTCGAAGACTAAAAAGAAAAATAACTCATCTAATTTGAAACGGAGGTAGTAATATGTCGCAAGTGCTGAATTACTATATCTTTTCACTTAATCATATGCTTGTCAAACCAAACTAATCATAAAGAATGTGTATACACTGTTGGTCAGAATCGATTTGTAATATTTTGAGAAAATCCTTGTCTAGTTATACAAAATTTACACAGTAAGTGAAGTGAAGATATTATTCTGAGAAAATCTCTGGCTAGTTATCATTTTATGAAACGCACAATTGGTCATTGTCAGTAATTACAACAAGCCATATATTCAACTTACATATATTTCAAATTAAGCGTTAATTCTTAATATGTGTAAATTAGTTAAGTCCATATTTTCCGGTCATTCATAAATGCTTTAAGTTTAGTAGAGGACAACATTTTACTTTCGTTCCCTTTTAAAACTTGGACAAAGAAGAGTTTCTACTTTTGCTACTTCTTTTACATGACTGATCTTATTTTAACAAGCTGCAATAGTCGGATTGTTCTAATGGTAGGAGTACGTAGTACATTCAAAGACGGTCAAAATGATAAAAAACCGAAGGGAGAAATGAGTCAAAAGCGGAATGAAACAAGTGAAATTATTACCAAATGAAGCAATAATGTAAATGGGGACAAAAGGGCAAAACCAACCAAATAATTTTGAAAGACATGAGCGGGAGGCTTAAAAAAACACTCAAATGCAACGACCCTGAGCGTGTAAGAACAGGAAAAAGATTATTAGAGAAAACGTGGACTGATAGATGCATTTATTTAGTACCGACAATATTATGAATGTCGGATTAGCGTGGGTGTTCAATTATTGGACTGTTCCCATCTCAAACCCAACTTTGGTCTTAAAAGTCTTTTCCCCTTATATATGAGACTTGTCGTTTTCTTCAGATTCCCACATCCTGCTCTAATACTATTGATTTCGTTTCTATTCCGTACCCCCCTATATTCTCTGCCGGATTTCTCGCTTTACTGTGACTGTTGAGTCTATGACCAACCTCTCAAATCAAGTAGCATCGTGTTTTAACCCCCCGGTAACTTCCATTTACCCTCCCGGCAACACTAGGTAAAAATAGGTCGGTTAGATGAAATTTGGGTTTTGTACAGATTATAATAGAATGATTCACTAGTACCGGTCATCTTCATATATAAGTCTAAAGTTAGGGTTTAGGGTAAAATGTTGTTAGTTGACATGGACTAAACACATAGCACAGTAGAACTGCAAATTCCAGACCACCTCATTTAACTTTTTCTATTTTGAACTATACAATTGAGTTGTTACATGGTTGTTTATTCCGTTCAAAAAAATGATAGTACCTTTTTATATAATGAAATGCTTTAATTTCTATATTTTTATTTTACTCTTAATAACACTCTTTTATGTAAATGACAACACAATTAAGATGGCGTTATTTAAAGAGTACCGAAAAAAACACTCACGTATAGTAATTGCAAGGGAAAAGAGTTATTGTAGTCATGGATTGTGTAAAACTCAATAATTTTGTCTTAAACCTAGTATTTGTGTTAAAAAAATTATTTTATATGTATAAATAATCTATCTAAACCCAATAAGCAAAAAAATCGTGATCTAGAGATCATAAGCTAAAAATTCTAGATCCTGCTCAATTAATAAGTTGCAAGAATTATACTTTTTAAGCTATATGTAAACGCCACAAAGCAATATTCCAAATCCTAGGAGATCAAAGGGCAAAGAATGAAAGGACAAAGAGGGAAGGCATACTCGATAGGAGTAGGAAGAGTGTGAGGAAGATAAGAGACAATAAGGTCAGAATGGTAGTCAAAACGGTCGGAGATTTGTTGGGGATTCTGAGAGGCATGCGCGCGGCGTCATCCCATCAGCTGTAGCTATCGGAACCGCAGGCAGATGCATACGAATGCCATGGCCCCTATTAAGACTGTACCCGTTCTATGTTTGACTGTTGCACTCCTTTCATCTCTAGTCGTTTTCAGCGGCAGAGATTAGTACACACGCGATCTGTGTGTTTGCTGTTTGTCTCTGGACGAGACGACTGGGCTTTGTTGATTGGGGTTTGCCAATTATAGGTAGACAATCTCCACATCACGTAGATTTTCCCTCTTAACTTCTGTTTTTGCCATCCCCTTCTTTTTGGCATTTTCTGCTCGGAATATGATTCCTTCTCCCTAGCTCTCTTTTTCTTATATCCTGTTTGATCAGCTTTATTTTCCAAACAAATAGTATTTTGTACAAATTTTAGTACCAAGATCAGTTTTATTTTGTTTTTTTGAGGACTTAGACCAGCTCAATTATAATTAAGAAAAAGGCATAAGTCATAATGTAATTGTCTTGGTAGTCATCGTAATACTTCCCGTTGTTTTAGTGGTATTTGTCCCACCTAGACAAAAAGAATCATAAATTACAACGTGCCATGGTAGGCCCGTGTAAAGAAAATGAACTTTTGATCTAATAAGCCAGGACGTTTGCTGCCGGAGTTACCGCGAGAAGGAAGGTTTAAGCTATGACTGCCCCATAAGATACTCATTTGAAATCTTTGGCCGGTCAAAGCCAGAAAGAGAGAAGTGATGTTAGATTTTAAAAGTTATATGGGTTATATTGGTGACCCATTCAAAATAAACCGACCGCTTTGACTTTGATTAACCAATCGAACGCGGGGTTGAGCTCTGGCCTCTTCATTTGTTCCAGTTAACAACCGCAAAGCCCAACATTGCTCTTGCTAGCTATTTGTCATTTTTTGCTACTTTGACTAAGGGTGGCAAGTGGGTCGGTCCCGGGTCTAAACGGACTAAGTGGTCCGATTCAAACGGTCCCGGTCCCGAGTCGGTCCCAATTAAACGGGCCAAATAGTCCCGGGCTAAACGGTCTTTTTGTAGGGACCGGTCCGGGACCGAGATCGAGAACGTTTGATCCCGGGCTAAACGGTCCTGGCCCGCGGGCTAAATGGGCTAAGTGGGCCCAATGAATTTTTTTAAAAAATTAAATAGAAATTAGAGACAAAAGGATGTTAAAAATAATATCTAAGGCAATACTTTGTAAAAATTATTATAGAATTGTGACCTAAATTTTTAAATATTTTTTAATTCAAATTTAAAGTCTAAAGACAAAAATATTGTAAAGAGATATTAAAAGCAATGCCTTGTAATTTTATTATAGCATTAAAAAATATGACAATATCTTTCTTAGTCTTCATCCCCCTATGGAATGAGCACAACAAGGTACTAATACCACCATTGAGAAGAAAACGAAACTAATCAAGATGTGCCAAAATATAAGTTACATAATACATACAAATTTTTGTTCATACAAGTTACATGGTATCTCTTACAAATTTCATAAATCTATCAAGGTCGGGAGGAATTTTCGTTGGTGGTGGCGGAAAAGTAGCTTGGTCATCGCCACTTCCGGGCGAAGCAACATCCTCCGCAAGTTCAGCTAGCATTTCTTCGTAAGCTTCGTCTTCATCTGGTTGTGATTCAGCAAGTCCAAAATTTCTTCTTTCCGACCGGATCTAATCTCTGGAAAGTACTAATTTTTTCAAGCTCTCCCTCATAGACGCTCTATAATCACCGAGTTGAAGTCTTGCTTGACTGAAAGCGCTCTCTGATGCCATTGTTGAAGCTTGAATAGTTAAAATATCTCGGGCCATCCTTGAAAGAACCGAAAAGTATTTTTCTTTGTCCTTCCACCATTCCAAAAGATTAAAGGAGCCGTCGGGATTCATTTACTCAATTCCCTGCGACAAATAAACTTCAAGCTTATTTAGTTGTGAAAAATCACTACTACTAGAACCTTGAGAACCCCTAAACCCCCCCAAGCACTAAGTGCTCTTACTCCCGCAGTTCTTTTAGATGATTGAGAATCAGAAGATGAAGGAGTTGAAACATTTGATCTAGCATGATTTAATGCAACTTGATAAGTATTAAAAATAGTTTGAGCATTTATTCTAATTATGGCTATTGCTTCCGGAAGTTGAGACAATTTCTCATCTTCAAGTGTTAAACCATTATAAACAGTTTCATACAAAAAATGAGGACCTCCTAATTTCATATAAGGATTTAACAAAGCAGAAACACCATAAATAGGGGAAAT